AAAAAAAATCTCTTGCTATTAATATTAGAATTTTTGCATTTCCTTAGTTCAGGTAGTATTTTGAGGGTAGTATGAGATTCCAAATTATCTAAATCTGTTTGCTTTTTGAATTTCTGATAGTGAGTTGTGAGTGTTCTAATAATGAGGAATTCAACCAGAATTTATCCAAGTCTGTCCTATCATATCCTATTCCATCTACCCTGTCCTTCAATAAGAGATCCTATAGTAAGGGAAACTTGTACTTTTTTAAATTACATGTAGGGTAAATTCTCATTTTGAGGTGTATATACTGCAAATTTCTAAGTTTTTTATGTGAATATTATTCTGTAGGCAAATAATGTAAATTTTTAAAAACATTATATTCTACCTTGTCCCATAAAAGATTTGACATGGCGTTAGAGAAACACATATAATAAGAATCTGCTATAATTTAAAAATAACTAATTTAGGATTTAGAAGTATATTAATCAGACTAGAGAGTTAGTACAATGTTGTGTGGGGGCGGGCTACATGCTGGGGATTGCAACATCCAGATTTAGGCTTTACAATCTTGGGATGATTTGAAAGTTGCCAAGTGAATTTAGTCTTGAGGTTGATGAAGGATAGGGAATGGGAAAGGGATGGTACATGAGGAGGAAAAGAACAAAAATAGTGTTCAAAATATGTAGCTTTTTGGTGTCTCACTAGATATTTCCATAAATTCTAGATTATCAAGAATAGTTCTCAGACTTTTTAGCTGCAGAATCATTTTCTTCAGAAAAACTCTTTTCCAGAAGCCCAGTATGTAAAACAGATTTAAGTGCAGTTGCCTTGATTTAAAGAGATGTTGTGGCCTGGTGTTGCATAGCAAAAGGCGTCAGACAAATGAATTGGTGGGTCACAGGTATTGTCTTCTAGGCACTAAAGGACAGAATATAGAGGTGAGAAGTTTCGCAATTCATTTTGTGAATCACTAATTTTCTTCTTTAACTTTAGGCGGTGTTAATTAACCTTTGTGGTTTGTTCATTGGCAAAATATGGCAATGCTATGTGGATTGTAATTAAATAAATTCATTTAGTTGTGCAAGCTTATCTGTAGTAGATAATGGCTTTCTTAAGCATGTGATTTATTTTTCAAGAACTTCATAGAAGAAAAGGATTTAATGACTTTTTGCTTCTCCTTGAAATTGATAGCCATGTCTAATTTCCTTAGAGGTCCTTAAATTTATATGATGAATATCAATGATTTGTTGTTTACATCTTTGAAAATTTTGTTCATTTTCTTTATTTTTTTTCTGTTTTTTGTTTTTCTTTTTTTATTTCAGAATATTTACCAGTGTAGATGTATTTGACCTAGACTGGGATATGCCCTTTTGAGAATAATTTTGAGTAAACAGAGAAATAGAATTCTGTGTGTCTGCTGGTATTAGTTTGTGT